TGAGCCATTACTGGCTGTTATTTTCTCACATTCTTTCTCAGCACTCTCCCTGGCTTTCAAATAGCTCTGGTTGCTTGGATAAAAGTGATCCAAGTTCTACTGCACATTCTACACCAAAAGAACCTTTTGAAAATCTTGCTACTAAGGAGTGGTCCATGGGCCAGGAGCATCACAGACCCCATCCAGGCCTGCTGAATCAGAATCTGCATTTTCAATGAAATTCTCAGGTGATCATTTTCACTTACTTCATTTCAACTTTTACTTAGTTCTTACAGTTAGCTGTAACTAGGGGACTACAGCTATGGGATCGTTATTCTCAGCAGTTAGGCAGCCAGTCTTAGAAACTACTTCACATAGTATTGCTCCTTCCCATGGTTCATAGTAGCAGGCAAAAAAGAGGAATACCCTCTAGCTTTCTGGAGCCTTGACTCACAATTGCAATGAGACTATGAATCCCTTCCTCTTGCATTTTATCAGAACTGACTCCTCTCTTTCACAGCCCTGCTGGATATTGGTTAAGTATCAGTCATACCCCAATAATATTTTACCCCATATTTATATTATTTTTTCTTTCTACCAGATAGTACATATCTTGAGAACATGTACTGAATCTCTTAGGCAACTTTTCAAAATCTCCAAAGCCAAATATGGTGCCTAATATAGGACAGGCATTTGATATACCCTCTCTTTTTAATTAATGAATGAAAATAATTAGGTCACTTATTAAGTAGCTGATTCACAAAACTTCAAATACAGGCAAAACTATCTTACCCACTTCTGAAGTTTTACAATTGCAATATGTATCTTCACAGCCAAGTCAGTTTGTTCTCCTGTTTTCCACTTCTCCTACAAGGTTGATTCCAAAGATTTTAGTACATCTCATAGAAAAATATTCAGGCAAAAAAGTTGACATTTTTTTCATTTGCAATGCATTTTTTTTTTTTTTCTGTTACTAGCTTGTCTTAATCATCCTTGAATCCTTCATGATTTCTGTAGTTTCTGGTACATAACATGCACTCAAATATTTGTTGAATGAGTATGTTATTTTTAAATTACCATGAGTTTGTTAGCATAATACAATTAATGAAGAAAAGCTCCAATTGCAAAACATTTTAATAGGCTGTCAAATATACAGTTATTAGAATTATCTAAATATCACTTATAAAAATCGGTGTATCACATTAGATGATTCTATAAAATAAAAACACAAATCACACATTGACAATAACCCCTGCAGTCCAAGTCCAAATACCCCCCATCAACACTACAAATTACAAACACATTAAAAAAAGGACATTGTGTAGACATTTAAACCAAAGTAACTTTGACTACACTAAATACATTCATTCATCAAGTAAAATAAATTTAGCATAGTCACTAATACAATTTTAGGTGCAATTTCACATGCTTTCATAAATCTTCCAGTACAACTCCCTATAGTAAAGTGTCTTTGTGCACACCAATTTCATTTATACGCAGGTGCATTACTATTTGAAACTATTTCACTTCATAATTAAACTTACTAACAGATTGTAAGTGAACACCAGGCCAAAATATAATCCCATGATGACAAAGTTTAACAATTAAAACTTTTAAAAGTATATTCTAATTTAATCGCACAAATGCTATTTCCTCTTATTAGACACTATCAACATAAGTAACAATTTAAACATCAAAAAATGGAGACTCCAACCTTCCTAAAATATTAACAAGCATTTTAAGTAACAATACAATCACTCTGTAAGTCAAAAATTTCATATTCATTGCCAAATTTAAAATACCAGTGGTTTGAAGATGATACTGAGGTCTAAAGTACTTGTATGAAATTGTAAAATACAATTTTAAAAATGTGCAGTAATTGGCTTGTGAATATGTAATGGAATGTTTTTCACAGCAATGTTCTGTTAAAACACTACTCTAAATGGACAGCCTAAAAGTAAACGTACCTTTACCAGCAAAAAAAGTGAAAAATTAAGGCCTTTTTATCCTATCTATAATTACTACCTGAACTCAAGAGTCAAATAGAGGTTATAATGCTGCAAGTATTATTTTTCACCCAACATATTGTCAGTTGCTTCATCTCAGCTCAATAATCATTACCTTATCTTCACACAAACTCAAATGCTAGTTAGCTTCAGTATTGATAATGCATATTTTTCTGTATCTCTCTTTTAATTAAGTCCCCAGACCCACCCCATCCAGACAGAATGCAGACAATGGTTAGGGCTTTGTCTGAACTGCATATTCAGGGCCAAAAATGCTGGGCACATGGTAGACATCCGATATTTGTGAATGAATTAAGAAGCCTGGCCTATAGGCAACTCTACTTGTCTTCCCAAAGCATTGATAGACAATTGCTACCTCTTTACATGATCAAATTGACTTTTTTTTTTTTTTTTTAAAAACAAATTGCTGTCTAGGCTATAAAAATATTGCAGGATGTAGTGGAATGATAACTGAGGCTACAATCATATCAAATCAAGGTTAAAGGCACTGAATAAGAAAGATTATTACAAAGCATTGTAAACAATTTTAAGAGCAAATCAAATTTTAAAGTATCAAATGTCTGTTAAGAGAGTACTAAAATGATGACAGTGTTTTAAAAACAGTAATTCCTCAAATAAAATTATTTCATACCATTTTCTTTCATCCTGTATTTTCTACAATATTCCAAATCCTAGAAACAAAAGTTTTCAGTTGCATGAAATATGAAAATTACAACTGAAATATCTCTGAAAATTAATCACTTTTTCTTAAGTTATATTATCAATATATAGATATAGAGATAATATGAAGAACACTGCCTTAGAAAATCATAAAATAGTAAATTATACTGAAAATCAGAAAAAAGTTCTTATTCAGTTTAACACAATCTAAAGCCCCATAATAGCAAATTGTAGTGTAAAGAGGAATACTAAGTATGATCTTTCTAGACATATAAAACAAAGAATAATGAATACTGAGTTGAAAATACCACAAAGCTCCATGTTAGAGCCACTTAATATACACATTTTCACAACTGTTTCTTGAAAAACTATTTAGATAAAATATTTAGCATTTATCAATTTTTAATTTATTTGAATCTATGCAACTTCTATCCATATTAAAATATTAGTGTAAATACTTTATTATAAAACTATTATACAATTTAAATTTTTATTAGAGAAATGTATTATTATACTATCCACAATCTCTTAAAGTCCTTTTCATGAGTGCATTCCATCAGAAATACACTAAAATCATTATTTATGTTTCCTAGGGGGGAAAAAAACCTATGATAATCCTATTAACCCAAACTATATCCTTATTATGCTTATTTCTTAAACATGTACATGTTTAAATATGGTTGGTGAATAGTGATCATTCTTCCCCACAGTGGTAAATTTCAGCATAATGTTAAATGGCTAAACATAATGTTAAACTGGGCTAGACAGTAAAATATCCACATGTAGATTATATAAACAGATACTTCCTCTGTGATATGTAAGATTACTTATAAAGTAACATAAAATGGGCATTGGATAATAGTGATAAAAATGTAAACAAACAGAATTAAATGTTAATCCCTTCCCTGAAAAACAAATAATAAAAGCGCTTTTTGTTTTATTAAAACAAAACCAGGATTATCTACTGTATCAAAAAGGTAAGACACTGATTTTTCCAAAACTGTATTTCCAAATATGGATAAAGAAAATCTAGAAAGCTGATTCACTTTATTGAGCTAAAATGTGCAAAAGTCTGGTAATACTTAGATTTATTAAATTTACTATACATAGACCGATACCATCCCTTACAAAAAAACTCGTTAAAAGACTCAAAATTATTAATTATCTGAGCTTATTAAGACTTACTGAACTACTGTCCAAATAAGAACAACAACAGAAGTCTATACTGTAGGAGAAAAAAGGTAAAATTAAAAAATTTTTGACTATTTATGAGCACTTGAAATTTATCTCCCCCCAAAAGCTATAGCCAATACCCATTTAGGCAGTAAGAAAAATATGAAGTCTACGAAAAATACTTATACTGACTCTAAAAAAAATTTTTTTTGCTCTAACAAAATGTATATGAATTTTAAAGTAATTCAGGTTTAAAACATTTACCAAACACAGAATCATAGAGCATTTGGTACTTCTGTCTGCGCTCAGATATTTGCAAAGTACGCTTAGAGATAAAGATAAAATTGTGATACTTTCCTCCACACCAAAAAAATCTGCTTAGATTTAAAACTTCAATTTGTAATTCTAGGGGGGAAAGAGGGAAAAGTCCAACAGCCCACAAATCTAAAACATTTTTCAGGAATATGTCAAAACTGTTAACTACTTAGATGTGTTATTAGTAAGTCAAAGTACAATTAATGCTTTCATAAACAGCTAACATATTTGTAAATCCTTTTTCAATAACTGTTTTTTTAAAAGGTGGTAAATGTGAAATGCAGATAATACTTAAAAACCTCATTTTTCCAGGAAAAATAGCATTCCCCCCCACCTATCACAAAATTAAATCGTAATTTCTCTCTGGAATAGGGTATAAAACTGTTTGAATAAGAGTGACATAGAAGCATGAATTTAGATATGCACCAAACTCTTGGAGATGCACTAATTTACATAGTAAATTTTGATAACACAATACTTGATGGTGTCCTTCACTGCTTACTAAAATTCTGAGAAGCACTTTTTTGGCAACATATCTTTATACTACTATTGAATTAAATGGGGACATATAAATACATGAATTTTAAATGAGAAAATTCTCAAGCTATTTAAAGGAGAAATAAGACAAAGCTTCAATCATCTACCTTTTGAAGCTGCATTTAGAGCAAAAAGTATATGGTTTATAGCACTTTTCAAATGTAGTAAATATATATTCCAATTTTCACATCAATGAAAGATTTTAAAAGAAAACCATTTTGTTCCTTGCAAATAACTTATTTCTTCTCCTAACCCTGACGAGAATAGTGACCTTAATTTCAAGATTTTTGTTGTTCTTGTTGTTTATCTTTCTCATGAAGTATATATTGAAATGTCCATTTTAATGGAAATTAAAGAGAAAATCTGCTTTTGGAATGCAATAATTCTAAATCGCTTTACTAAGAAGCACCTTTTGATATGCTGGTCTGAACTTTTAACATAAAACCTAAACAGTACTTAATTGTTCTGAAGTAGAATTTTCTCCAGTTTTAATGACTTCATACATAGTAATACCAAGGACATCAACCTGTGCTTTCTAGATTTTTAAAAGTGTTCCATTAATTTAATGAGTTATATGGCTCATTGTCAAGGTTCAGTGGATAGAGATTTCATGACAAATTGGCTACAGAAAGCTAAATAAACTCTTAATGACTGAATAATGGTTTGCATCTTGGTTCAGCCAGATGTTTAAGCCATGTACCACACCACATTCCCTGCTTAAGATTCCTGTTTCTTTATTCTTCATAGTTTTCTAATGAGCAAATAATTAGTTTTCCTGAGTAAGATTATAAAAAAGATAACCCTCCTACCAAAAGTATAAAGACAAAATGTAGACTCACAATATAAATTTTTTACATAGCTTTACAAGTACAGAGATATTGACTGCTGCTCTTATGATTGCCCCATCCCTTACAAAGACTGCAGCAAAGGATTCAATTGTCTAAAATACTTTGCAGTACAGTAATTAAATGCTTCAGCCCATAAACATATCCCTCATCTATTGAGTTGCTAGGGAACACATGAGCAAAATCTATCATTCGCACTTCTGCTCCTGAAATTTCTTGGCAACCAGTGGGAAGATGATAGAAAACTTTTTCCAGTTGGGAAAGTACATTTCCATTTAAATGTTCCTGTGACATGCTTTTCCACCCATTGTCTTGCTCTATATTTTCAACTTTCAATGAAGTCTGACTGTGATGCCTTTTTGAACACATTTTTCTGTGACGAGCATACATCTTGGAGAGGCTTTTGCCCACTGAAGCATCTATTTTTCCATTCTCTGTGGAATTTAACACATGAAAGTTATTATTGTACTCTAGTACATCTGTGTCTGACAGTTGCCCTTTGGACAAAAGTTTTTCTACCAAAGTTCTGTCATTTGATTTTGTAGTAGTTGGCCGAGATGAACCTTCATAAACAAACAGTAATGAACTTGCATAAAAATTAAGCTGCTTCTGATTTTCAAACCACTGCAGAATATTCTCAATCTTCTGAATACTGGCAGCAACAGCATCTTTTCTTAAGCAGAATCCATTATGAAAAAACCTGGAGACTCCTGTAAACAGGAAAATATTAGGATTATAATGAAATTATGAACTAGCTATCACATGGGAAATAAACTCATCTTAAATACAATTCTTCAATTCCTTCCTATCACCCCTTGCAATTAGCTGAACAGGTAAAATTCTAGTCAGACATAGAAACCTGAACCTCAACATAATTTTTAGTGACGATTCTCTTATTAGAAAATGACACTTAGGTAAAGTGAAACATACTATTTAGATTAAAAAAATTATTACACAAAGACTGGTAGTTTAGTTCTCTCTCTATATATATTCTCTTAAGGAATGTGATTCCAAGATTTGCTTCATTTGCTAGTGTGAGGGATTTATTTTTAATAAGATTACTTGTTTGTTAGAATCACATTCAAGAGCTAATCTAAAACCTAGAGTCAAATCACAACTACTTGTAATGGCAACAATGGCCCATTACCAAAATACCAAATCATAACTATAATAAATTCTTTCTGTTCTTAATAACATTAATTAAATCAGTCTTCACAAAAGTTAAGCTCACTTTGGGATCAAAGCTACTCCAGGTTGAATATATTATTCAAAACTGAAACTTTTATGTGTTTTAAACTATCAGATTATTAAGCCTCTTTTCACGTTGTTTATGCCTATTTTATCATATTTGAGAATTTATGGGTATATATAACTTGATTTCTGCTTTTAAATAGTTTGTTCCCCCACTATGGATAGAAATTGCTAAAAATGTATACTCACATTAGCCTGCAAAATATTTTAACAAAGAGCCAATCTGAGTATTATCCCGCTATTGGTTAAATAAACCAAGGCAAATACTGTTAAGATCACACTGTGTATGTTTGTCTTCTATATATAAAATTAAAAATTTTTTTCAAACTACACTACACATAAGCTCTTTCCCATCTTAGGCAAAGCTAAGAATAAAGTTTTTAATAGAATATTATTTCCAGGAATCTATTAGGGTCTCGTTGCTTTTGTAATAGCTCGGCTGTAACTATTTTAGAGGCATTTATGTTAACAGGCTTTAAACTACTTCTAATGCCATTTATTTTTACTATGTGGTTCTAGAAGCTTATAATATACAGCTAAATTAGACATGGGAGATTTCAATAACATTACATACAACAATATACATCTTAAAGTCTCTTATGTAAAAAGCAGTTTTAATACACTATGATTTACACACTAGGATTTGAAAAACAACCTCTAGTTTCAGGACTTGAACTATATGGCTGATTCACAGATGTTCATTATTTTTTAATGTATAATAAGAAATGAACTAAAATAAAAGAAGGCACTCAAGGATTCATAGTTTTGGTGTATTACAAACTAGGGATTATGAATAATCCAACTGTGTAAATTTAAGGGTTTACATTTATTTATTATGGATCAAATCATTACACCATAATTACACCAAAGAACTGAGACCAAAATTATTTTAGAATTATTTTGATAACTGTGCAGTAATAAAAGTATTGAAATAAGTTTTTCAATCCATACCATCTTTTAGAGTTTCTTTTGTTAAGCTTCTTCCATAGTGCTGATTTTGTGTCTCATAGCTATCAGAATGAACATGGTAAACCTGTGAGAAAAAGCACTGAATATTAAAAACTAATCTTCCTTGACCATGTGGGGTTTACCCAACAATGCAATGATAGTTAAGGATGGGAAGATCTACTCATATTTCATTCTAATAGACTCAAGAAGAAAAAAATTCATATATCAATGGATGCTGAAAAGGCATCTAAAAAATTTATATCCTCTATTGATGAAAACTCTTTAAAAGGACTGATAAATATTTCCAATATGAAAGAATTATCAACATCAGTCCACCAAAAGTTAGCCTCGAGTTTAAAAAGGAAATAAGGAAACATCTGTCTTAAAATACATGAAGCTTTTAGAAAAAGTATTCTACCACAATTTTTTTTTATCATCTATCTAGTATCGTTCTGGAATTTCTAGCAAATATAGACAAGAGAAAGGGTATAATAATTTGGAAAGAAGGAGATAAAAATATTACTCTTTATAGATAATAGTTGTGTATTGGAAAATCAACTGAAAAGCTAATACAAACAATAAGAACTTGAAATGGTTACTGAGTACAAATTGGTACCCAGAAATAAGCTTTCATATTTACAAATAACCAGTTAGAAAATATAATGGAAGACCCTATTTACCAATGCAACAACAAAGAAATAAACTAAATAAGTGTAAGTCTATATAAAGATATCTTTAAAACATTCTTAAAACATACAAATGCACCCCCATTGTTCTCAGAATGCAAACTCAGCATCATAAAGGTATTAATCCTACTTAAATTAACAATTTAATTTACTTAAATCAACAACTAAATCAACTTACTACTACTTAAATCAACAACTAAAGTGAGATTATAATAAAACAACTTTTTTTTAACCATATAAATTCTGAAGTTCATATTAAAAAAAAACAAGAATAGGCAGGAAAAATCCAAATAAGAATAATGAGGGACTAGCCTTGCCATCCTACTAGATATTAAAATATATTTATATTTTCCAGCTTTATCGAGGAACGTATGAGAAATATAATCATACATAGTGTATGTGATTATTTGCTACACATACACACTGTTAATGATTACTAAGATCAAGATAATTAACATGTGCTTTACCTCACAGTTAACTCATTTTTTGTGCGTGTGTGGTGAGAAGGCTTAAGAGCTACTCTCAGCCAATTTCAAGTACACAGTACTGTATTATTAACTAGAGTTACCATGATGTATATCAGGTCCTCAGAACTTATCCTGTAACTGGAAGTCTGTACCCTATGACATACATCTCCTCATTTCCATCCCCCACCCCACCAAACCCCTAGGAGCCACCATTCTAATCTGTTTCCATGAAATTGGTTTCTTTCTTTCTTTCTTTTTTTGGGATTGACGTGTAAGTGGTACCACACATCATTTGTCTTTCTTTGTCTGGTTTATTTCACTCAGCGAAATGCCCTTCAGTTTCATCCATACTGTTGCACAGTAGGATTTCCTTCTTTCTTGTGGCTGAATAATATTCTATTGTGTGTGTATATATACAAACTACATCTTCTTTATCCATTCATCTGTATGTGTACTGTTTCCATATCTTAGCCATCACTAATAATGCTGCAATAAACATGGGAGTTCAGATATCTCTAAGACACTGATTTCATTAAAACATATCTTTGGAATCAAATACATGAGAAGTTTGTGAGAACAGTATTTTATTTAAATCAGTAGAAAAAGATGGATAATTTATTAATAAGTAATGATAGTGTCTTTAGGTAGTGATCTGGAAAAAAGTAAGTTGTATTTATACCTTATACAAGGATAAAGTCCAAATATATCAAATATCAAAATGCACAAAATGAAATGATAAAAGTATCCCCACAAAGATGGAAGAATAACTGATACTAGGGAAGGCATTTCTAAACAGAACTCAGAAATTTCCTTCATACACAGTATGTTTTAAAAAATGATCATAGCAGGCACCTGGGTGGCTCAGTGGGTTAAAGCCTCTGCCTTCAGCTCAGGTCATGATCCCGGGGTCCTGGGATCGAGCCCCACATCGGGCTTGCTGCTCAGCAGGGAGCCTGCTTCCCCCCCCCCCCCCCGCCGTCTCTGTCTGCCTCTCTGCCTACTTGTGATCTCTGTCAAATAACTAAATAAAATCTTTAAAAAAAAAAAATGATCATAGTGTTTTTGCCAAGCAGAAATCAAAAGACAAATAAACACAGAGAAAAAGTATTTAAAATTTATATAATGAACAAAGGACATGATTAATCTTATGGGAAAAAATGAAAAAAGGATCTGAACAGTTCACATAAATCAGATCTCAAACACAAGGGGACACAGCCCTCCCCCAAATCGTGAAAAATCAAGTGTCCTGGACTTTGCCAAATGTTTCCCTGGAGCAAAACTGCCCCTGGTTCAAAACTACTGCTCCCTATCAAGGAGACTGCCAATATCTACCAAAATTACAATGCATATAACCCTAGCAATTCTCCTCTAGGAACTTGTCCCATAAATCTGCTTGCATACTGGTGAAATGAGGTAGGTCTTTTTTTATTCATTTGTAACATTATTTGTAATAGCAAAAGACTGGAAACAATCAAAGGGAGCTGGTTAAATCATGGTGTAATAACAGTGTGCCACTGTGGAGAGATCTTTATGATATGTTAAATGGAAAAAAAAGTAATATACAAAACCGTGTTCAAAGTAGGTTTTTTGATAAAAGAACACATATATGCGGTATTTGTATATGTTAAAAATATCTCTGGAAGGATACACTGGAGAGAAAATAATAACATCCTGTGTGGAAGGTGACTTCTCACTGTTGTGTGTTTCTACAATTTTTGGAGTTTGAAGCATACAATAATGTACCTTCTCAAATTTTAAATAAATATATATATTTTAAAGATTTATTTATTTTTGAGAGAGAGAGCATGCACAGTGGGCGGAGGGGCAGAGGGAGAAAATCTCAACCAGATTCCCCGCTGAGTGCAAAGCCCCACCTGAGCTGAAACCAAGAGTCACATGTTAAACCAGCTGAGCTATCCAGGCACCCCTTAAATCAATATTTTTAGGAAGTATTAAGAATATATTGATTTGGGGGTGCGTGGGTGGCTCAGTGGGTTAAAGCCTCTGCCTCCGGCTCAGGTCATGATCCCAGGCTCCTGGGATGGAGCCCCGCATCAGGCTCTCTGCTCAGCGGGGAGCCTGCTTCCCTTCCTCTCTCTGCCTACTTGTGATCTCTGTCTGTCAAATAAATAAATAAAATCTTTAAAAAAAAAAAAGAATATATTGATTTGGGAATTGATATTTTAAACCTTTTAGTCTGTTACAGTTAATTACCATCTATTTCCAATGCTATACCTAACTGAAAAAAGTTCAATTACAATCATGTTCTTAAACACACACACACATACTGCCTACTAAAGAAATATAATTTGGGGTGCCTGGGTGGCTCAGCTAGTTAAGTGACTGCCTTTGACTCAGGTCATGATCCCAGGGTCCTGGGATTGAGCCCCGCCATCAGGCTCCCTGCTCAGTGGGGAGCCTGCTTCTCCCTCTCCCTCTGCTGCTCTGACTGCCTATACTCCCTTGCTCTCTCTGTCAAGTAAATAAATAAAATCCTTAAAAAAAAATATATATAATATATTATATATATATTATATATATATTATATTTTATATATATATATAATTTATCTTGAGCAAAGTGTTACTATGAATGGAAGAAGGCACTTTATAAACATCAAAAATTACATTTGGCTACAGGAAATATTATTTTTATAAGAACAGTTAAGTATATCCAAAATGTGTTTTAAAATAACCACTCATGTTCTCTATACACATAAACAGGTTTAAGAGGATTCTTGAAAAAAAAAAGTAAATAAATTAATTAAATAAAAAAGAATTTCCAACATGATAGAGGTGTTAGCTAATCTAATGCTAAGGTGGTAATCATATTGCAATATATAAATGTATCGAATCAACATTTTGTATACCTTAAAATTACACAATGTTATATGTCAATTATATTGCAATAAAAAAGGATGAAATTGAGAAAATTAATAATCTGAATAGATCAATGCAACAAATGAGAATTTTCAAATTTTCAAGTACATAGTTATGTGAACCATAAACTAGAAAATGTACAAAAAACCCATGATTTTCAAAATAAAAACTATTCTACTTATTCAGGGGTGTATTATCTGAGCTAAATTGTATTTCAGAATCTACATTTCACACACAAAGTTAAATAGTTTCAGTGGAACTCCTTTATTGATCTTCTCTTTTCCTCTATTTCTATTCTACAGTTAACACTGGAATGGAAAGAGAATTTTTCCGTCTCTACTCTCTATCTCTACGGACTGCCCAGTCTTGGTCAGCAGCAAAGATACTTGTAAATCAAAAGTTACACACCAATCTTGAAAACATCTAAACATGTAGAAAAAAAAAAAGTTTAATGGAAAGGAAAGCTGGCAGAATAACAAGCAAACAGGCAAAAGCTGGGGAGTCTGGCTGGCTCCATCAGTGGAAGCATATGACTGACCCTTAATCTAACAGGTGAGTTTAAGCTCTACGTTGGGCATGGAGCCCACTTAAAAACAAAAACAAAAAAAACAAGCAAAAGCAAGTTCTAGCCCTTCCTGGATCATATTTCACCATATGAGTTGCTCATTTTATGTGAACTTAAATTTGGAGCAAACAAAATATCTTTAGCAAAACACCTTTCCTATTAAGTCAATTCAAGATGTAAAAGGTTACTATCATCATATTATAAAGAAAAAAAAGAGTCTGATCTTTAGATAAGATCAATAAATACCAAAAGAGAAGAATCATTTCCCCAATCAACTAGGAATCAGTGATTAAGAAAAGGTACTTCCCTTCAAAAGTATTTCTTTGTCAAAACTTTAAGCTGTTGCCAAAAATACACTGGAACATCTGAAAATTAAATCATTTAAAATCTTGAATCCTATGATTTAAAGAAATTTCAGATAAATTTCTATACACTATAATTTAATTACTTTTGGCTAATAAATATAATAAATCCCTGTAATTACGTCT